AAAAAAAAAAAAAAAAAAAAAAAAATGAGTTTTTAATATATTTAAAAAAAATCAAAAACGTAAGCACAATGAAAAAAACAAAAAAAAGAAATGACATGAGTCTTTTTTTTTGGGGTTTCACAAAGATTTTTTAAGGGCTAAAAACAAAACAGAAAAATAAAACAAAAAATAGAGGGTTATAGATCTTTCAAAGATGTACAACAATTTTTTTTTTTTTGTTTTTTTTTATAAATTCGTGTATTTTTAAAAATATCAAAACCATAAACAACATTTTTTTTGGCCTGCATTGCTTAGGTAATCTTGCTGGGTAGACTCCCTGCTGGGTAGACTCCCTGATTTGGCCTGCATCATTCACTGTTGTTGCAACCACCACCATCAGATCATTTGTGATCTGATGGCTGGGAAGTACTGTGCCATGATTTCCAGTGGGAGGTCTCTGTTTTTTTTGTTTTTTTTTTGCCTTTCTCCTGTTTTCTCAGCCCAGAAACTTGTAATGAACCTATCAGGCCGCTGCCACTCAGTGTCACACTGGATCGGCCACACTCCAATCCGTCTGCTAATGGGACCATGCCCCTGGGGCGAGGTCCCATTAGCAGTCAGATAGGAGTGTGGCCGATCCAGTGTGACACTTAGTGGCAGCGGCCAGACAGGTTCATTACGAATTTTTGGGCTGAGAAACAGGAAAAAGGCCAAAAAAAAAGAAAGAACAGAGACCTCCCACCAGAAATCACGGCAGAGTGTTTCCCAGCCCTCAGATCACAAATGATATGATGGTGGTGGTTGCAAAAACAGTGAACGAAGTTACCGCCACATTATCTTGGAACAAAATTGACTTCTGTCAGAAGTGATCCTGACACCCTCCATATACCCCGTGATTGAAGGAGGGATGCACCCAATGAGATAATTGCACAACAACAAGTAAAATACTGAATATCTTCTATCCAGTGGGCTAAGGCCGACCCCAACCTCATTTGGGGTTGGCCACACCTCCAACCGATTGAAGGGATTCAGGCGGGAAGCTTTCTTTGCACTGACTGTGGGATCACGAGTATTGCATGGCAGGATTTGGGTCACTCAACTGCCCCGCAAACTCGTTTCTAGCCTATCCCGTTGCTAGTGGGACCTCGCCCCTGGTGCTTGTCATTGCTGTTTGGTCGAAGTTGCCCTCAATACTGGTAGGGTGATGGTCGTGAGTGCTGGTCACACTGAGGTAGGATAGTAGGGACAGGGGGTCTGGTTCTTGGCCTCTACAAGACCTTGGGCTTTCAAAAAAAATAAAAAATAAAAATAATGGATCTTTTGCTAGAACGTGGAATAATGCATCGCCATATGTTTTGTCTTCTGTGCATGTGGTGAGTAGAGGCCCTTACGGCCACTGCACGTATTCCTCAAAAAAGAAAAACGAGAAAAAACAGAAGAAAAATCAGAAAACAAAAGAAAAACGGGAAAACAAAAGAAAGAAGAGAAATAAAAAAAAAACGAGAAAACAGAGAATTAGTGACCCAGAACTTTGCTGCACAGACTGCCACAGACCTGAATTTGAATCCAGACTAAATATTCTCAGGCCACAAAGGCAGTCTCCAAGTCTTTGCTGCACGAAGGGTCCTTGCTAATCCGTAGGGACCCTTCGGAATGAGACTGTACGACCAGATTGCAGCATTTGTAAAAAAAAAAAAAAAAAAAAAGGAAGACCTGCACCCACATGCACACACATGTGCTCACAGTCTAGGGGTATGGGGTGGCCCTTACTTTTTACCCTCTTGCAGTTTGAATTTCGGGAGGGAGGGGAATGTTTGGCCACCCTACCCTGTTAGTAGGGGTCAATTTTTTAATTTTTTTTTCTTGTTTTTAGTTTTTGGGCGCGTAGGGCCACGTGTCCAAGGTCCAACACGCCGGTTCCGTTTTTCAAAATTGAACGGAACACCCCGGTTTTCGCATTAAACGCGATCTAACGGGGCCCCCGGGCCCTTTGAACGGGTTCAACGGCGTTGAATTTCGCCCGTTCTCCGTTCATAGGACACACAGAGCTTCATCACGGAGCGAGCTCTAGATGGTCACCTGCTGCAGCCACGTGGCCACATCTCGGAAATTCAACAAGTTCGTCATCCACGGCTTAATACGGATCTTCGGCGTTTGGCGCAGTTCTTCTTCGACGTGGGTGTGTGTGCCACCGCCGCATTTCGATTTGAAGGAAGCTCAGAGGCAGTGGTACTGGCGGAGGTAATAGCAGTTCATCGGCGAGCGGCTCTCGGAACGAGCCACGTCACCACAGTTGCGGCTTTCAGCGGCGACATCAGTTCGGTCAATCCACGGTGGCAATCCACGATCTTGACCTCGCTGCGAGAGTGGACGGAGCAGGTGTCCAACGTGCGGCAGCACGGCCTCGCCCGACCAGGGCACAACCTCATCCCGACCTTTGCACCGGACTTTGGCTAGATCCGCGCGAGCCGCCAACTCCGATCCACACCCTCGTCCCTTTCCCACGCCCCCAATGAACCACGCCGTTCCTCTCGCTCCTCTCTCCATCTTTGGTCTCCCCTCTCTTTTCCCCACCTTCTGGCAGTCCGATCTTCATCCTTCTCTTTCCTTCTCGTTCGAACCTTTTTTTTTCCCACTCATTAATCCTGGGCATTGGCGACTGTGGCGCGAGACCTTCGTCGAGCTGTCCTTGTGCTTGGCCCGAGTACAGGTGACGTGGACGCAGATCAGCGAGCATCTTGCATGGATCGAAAATTTGAAGTATCTGGTCATACAAGCTTGGAAGACTAACGTGGAGGGCGATCTCCTCGGTTTTCTCTTCGGATCGGTGCGGCTGGGGCATCGCCAGCTAATCACTCAAGAACTCATCGCGCCGATCGTGCAACTAGCGGATGATCTCTCTCTCGACATCGTCTCGCAAAGCGACGACAGCCCCGCTCCGCACGTGCTCACGCGAACGTTGGATCCGTATCTTCAGTGGAGTGCATGCTTGGAAGAGCCTGGGGACGAAGACTCTCTACCGTCGCGGAAGGAGTATCAAGAGTCATACGGCATCATCGATCGCGCTTTCTATCCGAAGGCGGAGGAAGTGGTGATCGACGACAACGAAGAAAGCAACGACGAGGAAACATCGGAGGAGGGAAGCTATAGCGAGTACAGCGAGGGGAAGCGGAGCGAGGAGAAGGAGCTAAACGACGACGACGACGAAGAAGAAGAAGAAGAAGGAACCGGATCGGGGTGGGAAGCCTTGCCGGAGGAAGCGACGCGCACTGGCACGGAGGCGGAAGATCTTGAGGCAGCACGCAAGCGGGAAGAAATTGCCACCGGAAAGTGCCAGCTGGAGTTCGCCAGCGGAGCAAGCGTGCGCATCGGTGACGATCCGACCAGGGATCCGGAGTCAGCGAAGCCTGAAGATGGCGAACCAGCAGCCGCCACCACCAGCACCCTACCGTGGAGACGGAGTCGATCCTTCACCCCCTCCAGCCCCACCCGTCCCCTAGTTCGTCCACGTACCGATGCGGGGGATAGACCTTCATCCCCGGACATTATCCCGTCATCCCCTTGATTACCTCACCCTCGAACAGATCCACACCCCCGTCACCTTCCCCCACCACCCCTTCCATCCCCATCTCTTCCGCGATTTCTACTCTACGTGTCTAATTGCTACCGTCTACCCTCACTGCTCCCTCCAACCCGCTGCCCCCACGTTCTGTCTACATATCCTGTTGTTTAGCGTTGCGTGGGAGCAGTGCAACGTAGTAGAAGTCTACTACGTAGCCACGGGGACGATCCCCGCCTGTCGCCACTACGATCTCTTTCGCGCAGCGCTCTTCCGCACCCTCTCCTCCCTCTACCGCGACTACCTTCTCTCTCTCCCTCATAGCGGCGACCACTTCCCTCGTTTTCACCGGATCATCCAATATGAGGAGCTTCTGGTGACGGTAGAAGGGATGAATCGCTACCTACCCCCACTTCCTCCCCGTCGTCCCCGGGAGATCCCCTCCATGTACCGCCTCTACTGGCCCATTCCAACTAGGCGGTAGATCCTGATCACGTGACTTCCCCCCCTCCTCTCTTCATCTAATCAACGACGGGGAAAGCGACACGAATCAGTAAGCTTCGCGAAGATCACGCCAGCGACGATGACGTCAACCTACGCTCTCATTCGACGGGCAGCGACAAACTGGGCGCAGAGCACACGGAGAACCGGCGGACGATGAAGGCGTCACCTGGACGACCATCGATGATTCCGACAGCACGAGCCAACAAAAGATTGCAACTGAAGTTGGCATGGACTCTGGCTGGATTGTCTGATGATACACTTGGTTCCTCATTCATCACTCTGATTTCTCTCTCTCTCTCTTCTTCTCTGCCATGGCATGCAATCAGGAAATCGCATAATTTTGGAACCCCCTGCGCCTCACATATGTGACGAACTGCTTCCCGAACCCGTGCTATCTTTCGTACCCCTTTTGCTTGTATCAAACCAACCCCATAAACACCCTGTTTCGTTTTCTTTAATTTGGGTGCCGCGTTTTGGGCCCCCATCTTTCGGAAGCTTTTACGATTCCCGGGTTCTGCTTTTTCTTTTTTAATTCGGGAAATACATAGGAATTTATGTGCGCCTCAGCGAGCGCACTGGGAATTGGGCCCGGCAGTTGGAATTCTGGGGTAAACGAAACTTCGACGTGTCCTTTTTGTGTGTGAATGTTCTTGGTCGCGTTGGGGAAACTCTCGGAATTTTGTGGGGATACGAATAGGCGTTGGACTTTCTTTTCCTGCGTCGCTCTTTCGCGCGCGGATATGGTGATTTCAATTTAGAATTGGTTTAGGATGTAGGCAAGCTGTAACTGTTTCGGTGCCTTTTTCTCCTTTTTTGTTGACGGCGCCGCACATGCAAAGCTTTCTCCTCTCTGTCCCTCGCATCGGTCTCTCCCGCGCTCCTTTTTCCTTCCCCCTCCTCTTCCTCTCTCCTCGTAACTGTTTTTCTCCCTCTCTCTCTCTCCCCCTCTCTACTCTTTGCGCGCCCATTTTCCCTTCTTGATCATCTGAATCTTGGACCCGTCTTGCGCTACTTCTCGCGCCTTTTTATTTTTCGCCCTTCAAGCAAAGCTTGTGAAGTCCGGTCGATCCTTCGAATACTCTTGCCCACCAATCAGATGCGTGGTATAGTAGGATCTGCCTATTGCGCGATGAGTCTGATTGGCCAATTGCCGAGTTCCGAAGGATCAACATGGCTTCCACGAAGCACTCTTCTCAAAGTCTTCTCCTCCTACTTCCCCCCTTATACTTCGACTTTCCCCCTGCATTCTCCCTCCCTTGTCTCCCTCCTCGCTGCTATAAATTCCGCAAGCGCGCCCGCAAATCTCTCTTACGTTCTCGACTCCCAAKCCAGYTTYCGGGAAGCAGTGSCTAGGCAGAGTGTTTGGTGYGAGTCGGAAAGTCCTGTCRGGMTGACGATAGGCTGGCCGGTTGCGCGCTTGATCGCCACRACGGACTGTGGGATCWGGGCGAACCGCGTYGAGTTWACGTCGGCGGGGTGACGATYRCAGTGSTGGGASTTAGCATGCGACGGYCGGGATCGTCGGTGCGGGCATRAGGACCGATTGATTGGAGTTGAGTTAGTGATTGGCCCGGGGCCATGTTGGAATTAACGGCGAATGCGCCTTTGTTGTTGCGGATCTTTATCTCTGGTGTGAGTGCACGGCGGCAAMGCCGAACCTCCTCTTTTCGGATCTCRTCATCTTCTATCTCGACATTTCTCCCTCGTCTCCTCCTCTCTCCTCTATCATTGAATGATGATGTGTCTCGATGTTTGACTCTCTCTCTCTCTCTCTCTCTCTCTCTCTCTCTCTCTCTC